GCTGGACGCCCCCTACGATTCGTCATCTGATTCATTATCTTTGTTTTGATCGCGTCAACCATGCTAGTGATTCGTAAATGTCATGCTTCCTTTATCCAATTGTTGAACGATTCAGCGGCGTTAGAACACATCTCGCCATACCGATTGCCCCTGTGTAGTTGTGTAAAAATGTCAGTTACATAAAGTAGTTGAATTCATAATGTGTAAACGTTTGTTTGGAAACACGAAATTTGCAAATATTGAACAATTATTACCTGAAATTCGCATTGTCCCAGTGGCATGGGTCCAAATTCTTCAGAAAATTTATTGCAAAATGCCAACTAGACTGTGTAAATTATTCTATTTTTTGGTTGAAGTTGGTGGCGGTTGGTGCATACACGCATTTGCGAAATTTACTGAGCAGCCCAATTCTGTATGGATTATTGACATACTTCATTCTATATTTCAAATATCTTTGTAAATGCTGCATAAAATTGCATGGTGTAATGTTGGGAAAACAATAGGTATGGATTCCAAAAGCCTAACATGACGATCCGAAACAAACGTTAATGACTGGGTCCCATCAACTATGTTAGCAAGATTTGTAAGAACCATTCCCAGTTTGATGCATTCTCTAAATCAACAATTGCGAACGCCACTGGAAATAACCCTGCAAGAAAGACATCACAACATTGTAACATTGTGTGAAAACCCCGCTGTTACCACGTTCGATATATTGCCAACACACACAACTCAAACACATTACAACACTCCATAACAAACTGTACTATCAAAAATGGAAGCAATACAACATGTCTATTGAATGGTAAAAACACATAACTTTGGTTGCCATCTTTGGTAGTAGCGGCAAACAAGTTGCCATTGAATCTTCCTTTCAGGAAAGTACCATCCAAAAAACATTAATAGGCAACATAATTGAACCCATCAATACACACTTTGAATAATATGAAAAGCCTATTAAACTGACGTGTATTGCTTGCCTTGAACTCGAGATTAGCGTAACTTCTAGGATTGTATTTCGTAACGACATTGCTATACCACCGCAATTGGTCAAACGAGGTGGAATGATCATCGAGTAGTTCACCTCTCACCTTCTAAACCCCTAACCAAGCTATGTGGTAACTAACTTGCAATCCATAATCTTTTTGGAAATGGAATTTTACATCCGTTGGGTGAGTCAATAGCTTGTCACATACGCGTTCTGCCATGACGTCAGTAACCAGTTCAGAACCCATCCTTGGATTTTTTGCAGTCCGCATGGAAACCTCGAAGATGTGCTCATTGTTTCATTTCTGCAAATAAAAAACCATTCATATTCATCACCCTAGCATAGACAAACCATGGGCACCCCCTTGACTCATTAATCATGCACATCTTTGTAATTCTAACCGAGTCATTCTTCTTGAACTTACATTGGAACCCATATTTAATAGCATATTTGCTGAGAACCTTACGAAATTCCCTCATTTCACCTTCAAAACACTGTCTCACATTATTGATGCCAAAAGTCCATGACTCCAACAACAACACCTTCTGTGCCTGTGGGAAAAACTTGGGTAACAAGTTAGCATATTCATCAACATCTTCTGTTACATCACTTCCTACCCCCTTTAGATGCATCCGTCGAATGGGTTCCCACTAGTGCCCCTTCGACGTTTGTTCCCCGATGACTTTGTGCACAACTCTACAATGACATCAATGTGGTCCATCCGGAAAGACCTAGTAAGGCACATCATGTTTTGGAAGTCCAATTCATTTTCCATGATGAATTTATTATATCCGGTGATCCTGAAGAACACATACATCAAACCTAGGGACACCCCCCTAATTGTTCGCAAAAATGATTAGCTAGTCTGCTGCACGTGAACTTTGTGTCAACCATGACGGCAATGTTGTTATCACCATACGAACACAACAACACTAAATTATTCTCCATCCCTACAACGGAAAAAAAAAGAAGCAAAATACAATTAAATCTGAGAAATGCAACAACTGCACAACATGGAATTAGATAAAAAAAATATAATCCAAGACAACTTGTCCATCTGCCCCACATTCATTTATACTACATCACAATCATCATTCCCATCCCCCTCACCAAGGCTACAAAATACCAAACAAAAACATAACCACAACCCTGAATACGTTACCTATGCCCAATTATGATCACCAATTCCTACGTTTGTAGCCTCCAAGACAAAAACCCACGCACTGTAGTCTTCTTTGGTTTGGTATATTACAACGCAACACTAAGCCTTGAAATACACACAGAAAATTGCCCCCCATACTTCTCTTTCCCAAATTGGAAACGTAATCAATGGGATTACCATACTTACCAAAAATGTTACCACACGGGAACAAGGGCAAAACAGTCACATAATCCACTCCAAATCAAACAAATGGGATCTTGCGGGTCACATTACCAATTAAATGGGACTTCCAAGAGTATTAAAAATAAAGAGGGATCCCTTAGTCCAAAACCCTTCCAAATGGGATTTCCAATAATTTTCCTAAACAAAAAAATTCCAACTTTTTTTTTAATCGAGAAGAAAATTTTTATTGGAAAACTGATAAAAATTGGATCAATCTGGTCTAGTGGTATCACAAAATCTCAAAGAGAGATAAACAACCTCCATTGAAGGAAGGGATTGGGGAGGCCACTATTGTGCAGCTAATGGAGCCTTTTTTGGGTCTCATTCTAACGATCCAAACAATTCATTTTTTAGAAGATATCGAGTAGAACATACTGAAAAAAAATGAAATTAATCAGATATCAGTATCTCTTTCATCAATACATAATTGTATCTACAAAATTTAATGGTAAGTTTAATTTTAAGTATAAATATGAATACAAACATGACTTGATGAAAGGGGCACCGATATCCAATCAACTTGAATTTTTGTAGGCATGTTTTACTCAATGTTTTCTAAAAAGTAAACGGTTCGGATCGTCAAAATGAGGCATATAAAAGGCCCTATTGGCCGCACAATAGTCACTACTGTGCATGGTGCGCAAGCCCCCCAAAGGAGGGAAACAAATCTCCATACAAGAAGAATTATTACATTAACAAACTAAAAATTAAGATAATCACACAAGGAAAAAAAATCCCTAAGTTACAAAATTTAATTATGAGAGGCCTGTAACGTCCTGACAAATGAACTTTAATGTTGCCCATCTCATTCGGGGCATTACCAATATACGCTAGGCAACACAACAAAACAAAATAGAAATAATACCACATTAACAACATTCCTTCACTTTTGAACTATTTCCAAACCTTACAACATTATTTCATTACATTTAAAACTAAAAATAAAATAGTTCAACAAGTAAGGAAAGATTCAACAAATTTTTTTTATCCTTGTTGCATAAAAATAGCTGACTACACATAGTCATCCAAAAACTGTCCCTGGCATACACAAAATATGATTCAACACAAGCCCTCACATCCCACAAGTGTTCTTCAACCCAACACGTTCATTTAGAGGGCACTTCATCTTCATTTCTTGAAATTTGGTTAGTTTTGGGGGTGAGCAAAAGCTCAGTAGGTAATGCACTTAACAACTTATAACATCAATTGAAAAACACATGATCATGTAATGCATCATTCTATAATTTTTATATTATATATATTTATGAATGCCCTTATGCATGAGTATGCAATATGTAAGTTAAGTAAACATTTCCTGAATTCAGATGGGTTGGTAAATATACTATGACCTTCCAAGTAAGAGTCAAAATTTCAAAATACATACATAGATATAGATTTGTATACTCAAAATAGTCCCACATTTTCTGACTCCAGAAACGACGGGGCTATGGGCACCCAAAAACATTTTCCTTTCCGCATTTACGACTCCAGAAATGGCAGGCTTGTGGACACCCAAAAACATTTTTGAACATTCATTTGGCGATATCCGCAAACAGGGCAAGTGAGCACCTTCACTCCCCGCGTGGGTGCCAAATACAATACCCAACTCAAAACCACCTGACTCACTACCCAGACTTATAGACTATTTACCCCCTTTTTAGCTTTCCACTGTTTGCACCATCCATTGGATCATAAAAGAAATTTAGTACTGCATATGATACATGAATTTTATAAACACCCATTTTCCCCTAAAATGATTTCCAATGTACCCAATTCACTGTTCACCTTTCAATAATAACCATGGTTCATTCACCAATCATCACCAACACAAGATGTATGTAGAAAAAACATTTCAACTTCAAAGTTAAGCAATCACCCTCAATTTCATGTTTTAAGAATCAATTGAACAATACCCCTCTTTTTAAAACAAGTTTCAAAACTAGGGTTTATAGAAAAATCAGGGATTTCTTTTCTTTCATGAATTAGAGGCTAAATTTCTTCACCAACAACCATAATCATCAAAGATAAACATAATTCCATCCTTAATCATGAATCATTACTCATATCCTTCCAAATCATTTGATAGCAAACACTATTTACACACACACACACACACACACACACACACACACACACACACATATTTAGGGGATCGCTTGAGTGACCTTTTTACTGCTCGATCAAAAAACAAGATGTTCCAAAAGTTTTGCTGAGATATAGTGAAAATATTGAGAGCTTGAATTCTACGCTCGAGCGACCACTTCATCGCTCGAGCGATCTCACCTGCAAAATGGAAAACTATTGAGAGCTAGGAATCTTCGCTCGAGGAACCAAATGACTGCTCGAGCGGTCCCCAAAACTCAATTGTCACAACCTACCGTCCTTAAAGAATTTCGGCCCCGAAATTATCATAGTCCCTGTCCAAACAACTCTAGCAATTCTTAACGAAGATAATTACTACTCTTACAACATCTCCATTCATTGTAACATCATCACAATACATAGATTCAAATTTTCAAGGGTCAAAATTCACATGTCGCTTATAATTACTACACATAACATCAACACAAGACTTGTTTATGATCCAGTAACTACAATACAATATTATTATAATAAAGAGTAGCAAAATCATGCATCATTAAACATATCAGGGTATTTTTCACGAACTTCCACTTCCCTTTCCCAAGTGGCTTCTTCTACCCCATGATGGTGCCATAGTGCTTTGAATGGAGGTATAGTTTTACCTCTCAAAACATGCTCTCGGGAATCTAAAATCTTCATTGGTTTATCCTCGTAGAAAACATTTTCATCTACCTCAAGATTCGTCCAGTCTAAGACGTGAGATGGGTCAGGCTCATACTTGCGAAGCATTGAGATGTGAAACACGTCATGTATCCTTGATAATTGTGGGGGCAAAGCAAGACGATAAGCAACTTCTCCCAATCGTTTAATGATATCAAAGGGACCGATGAACCTAGGTGATAGCTTCTCACTCTGGCCAAATCTCATCAAACCTTTTCTAGGTGATATCTTCAAAAACGCATGGTCACCTACTTCAAAAGAAAAGGGTAGTCTCCTCTCATCTGCATAACTCTTTTGCTGGCTTTGTGCTGTGATTAACCTCCTCCAAATGATAGCTACCTTTTTTGTGGTTTCATGAACCAATTTCGGTCCAAGCATAGGTGAATCTCCTAGCTTGAAAGCTATTGTTATAGGCAAACTCGGCTAGCGGCAAATATTTCTCCCATGACTGCTTGAAATCAAAGGCACACGCTCTTAACATGTTTTCTAAAATTTGAATTGTGCGCTTAGACTAACCATCGGTTTGAGGGTGGTAAGCAGTACTAAAAGTCAACAGAGTCCCCATAACAATTTGTAAACTCTGCCATAACCGTGCGGTGAAGCGAGGGTTTCTATCTGAGACAATGCTCACCGGAACCCTATGAAGCCCAACAATCTCCCTAACATAGAGTTCTGCTGGTAATCCATTGTGTCACCCATACTCATTGCCAGAAAATGTGCCAACTTAGTCAGTCAACTCTAACCCAAATGGCATCATTACCTTTATGTGTTCTAGGAATGCCAACCAAAGTCCATTGAGATGTGTTCCCACTTCCATTCAGCTATAGGTAAGGGTTGTAACAACCCGGCTGGCTTTTGATGCTCCGCTTTGACTTGATGGCAAGTTAGGCATTTTGACACAAATAAGGCTACGTCCTTCTTTATGCCCTTCCACCAGAATTGACAGCTCAAATCATGATACATTTCCATGCCTTCGGAGTAAACCGTAAGATGAGAGCAATGAAACTCTCGAAGTACGTCATCTCTACATGATCTTGGTACAAAAAGGCGATCTGTGTAACGGATACTCAAGTCAGGGTGCACCCTCAATCCTTTCTCTTCTTTCTCTTGCAAGATTTTCTCTTTAAGTGCTTCTACCTCCGGATCACTTTGCGATGCTTCTAAAACTCATGTAACTAGTGTTGGCTGTGCTAGAATTGAAAAAAGTTGGCTTGACTAGGTGATTCTCCAAGTTGCACATCAAATTCACTTAGCTCCCCCAACATCTTCCACTCCCTCACGGCAAGGCTAGCAACCGAACTCATCAACTTTCTGCTCAAAGCATCGGCCACCACATTAGCCTTTCCAGGATGATAATGTAGTTCAAACTCATAATCTTCCAAGTATTCCTTCCACCTTCTTTGGTGCAAATTCAAATCTTTTTGGGAGAATAAATACTTGAGACTTTTATGGTCTGAGAATACATCAAATCTCTCTTTGTAGAGATAGTGTCTCCAAAGCTTTAAAGCAAAGATGACTGCGGCTAATTCAATATCATGAGTGGGGTAGTTTCACTCTTGAGCGTATAGTTGACGGGAATCGTATGCCACAACTTTGCCTTCTTGTATCAAAACACACCCTGAACCCTCTCTAAAAGCATCATAGTAAGCTATATAACCCAACTCTCTCTCCGGGATAATTAAGATTGGTGTTAAGGTCAATCTAGTCTTTAATTCTAAAAAGGACCTTTCACATGACTTATTCCACAGAAATTTCACTCCTTTTCTAGTCAATTTTGTTAGTGCTGCCGCTAGGATGGAAAAATCCTTCACAAACTGTCTATAATATGCGGCAAGATAAAAAAAGCTACGAATCTCGAAAATGTTCTTAGGTTGTTCCCACTTTAACACTGCTTCAATATTTGAGGAATCTATTGTGACTCCTTCGCTTGAGACAACGTGGCCCAAAAACTTCACTTCCGAAAGCCAAAACTCACACTTCTCAAATTTAGCATACAATCAGTGTTCCTGAAGCAATTGTAAAACAATGTGGAGATACTTTTTGTGCTCCTCTTTAGAAGGCGAACAGATAAGTATGTCATCCACGAAGACTACAATGAATTTGTCAAGATAATCTCGAAAAACTCTATTCATTAAATTCATAAATGTGGCGGGAGCATTAGGTAGACCAAATGGTATCACAAGGAATTTGTAGTGGCCATGTCCTGTGCGAAAGGCCGTTTTAGGGATAATCTCCTCTTTCACTTGCATCTGATGATAACTCGATCTTAAATCTATTTTTGAGAAACAACGAGAACCCTTAAGTTGGTTAAAAGTCTATCTGGGGCATGGGATATTTTTTTTTTTGATCGTGGCTCTATTCAACTTACGAAAGTCGATGCATAGTCGCAATGAACTGTCTTTCTTCTTGGCAAAAAGTGCTGGTGCTCCCCATGGTGAGGTACTAGGGCGTATAAAACCCATGTCTAACAGTTCTTGCAATTGCTCCTTTAGGACAAGTAGCTCTGCTGGGCAAAATCTATATGGCAACATGGAGATGGACGTCATACCAGGCACTAGATCTATTGAGAATTCTACCTCACGATGAGGTGGTAACTCGGTGAGATCCTCAAGAAAAACATTCAGATACTCACAAACCACCTTAGGAAATGTCCCCCAAACTATACTACTCTCATCATTAACAATAGTCGCTAGAAGAAAACTAAGTTTGCCTCGACTTCGTGGGTCATACAACGGTGACAACCCTCCATCGGCTCTATCCCTCAGAAAATAAAAACAATCCCTGCCAGTGGTACATACCGTAACCCTTCCGCGGTAGCAATCTATGATAGACAACTGCCCATACTAAGAATAAAATCAAACCCCGACATTTCCAATATCAACAAATTAAAAGGGAGTTGACGTTCAACTGCCTTGATTACACACCCACGACACCTCCAATTTAAGACAACTTGACCTCTGATTGGTGACTCAACCATAAGTAAAGACTCTAGTTGTTCTACCTTTAAGCCCAACGTGGATGCAAATGTAGATGTGATAAATGAATGAGATGCTCTTGTGCCTGTCAATACATTGGCCAAGTGTTGTAGATAAGATAAGTACCTCTCATCGCTGATGGTCTTGATGATTGTTCAAAAGCAATGATCACATAAACTCGCCCTTGGGGCCTCTGTTCACCCTTATCTCTTCTCAAAACATTGGCCATTGTGTTGCCTGTGCTAATGTGGTCCCTTACACTGCCCTTGATGTCTACCTCGATTGAACCGATTGATAACTCTGCTGCTGCTAACCTTGGCCTGCTTGATAACTCCCAGAATTTCGGGATCCAAATGCACTCCCGTCCCGTCTAGTTATGGGAAGACCTTTTCATGTGCCCTAATTGCTTAGAATGGTAACATGTAGGAAACTGGCCCCTTCTCTAGGCTTGGCTTTGAGAACGAGTTCGTTGTTGATGACTAGGATTCTGTTTGCACTTGGCTGCTTTGTGACCTTGCTGGCCACATCAGAAACAAGTAACATTGATCGGACTTGTACTTCCAGAACTTCTCATAGAAATGGACCCTGATGACTTGGCTTGTTAGGGCATAGATGGGAAAGAAGAAGAATAATGCTAGATTTCTTGGAAGATCTGTTATCACCCTTAGATTCTTGTGTAGCTTGGCCTCTTATGCCTCTATCTCGCCTCCTCAGCCTCTAACATAATCTCTACATGAGTGGCGGCCACCACTAGTCTATCATACTCCCTATACATGTGAACCATCACTTTCATCAAAATCTTGAGTCTCAACCTCTTCTCAAATTCCAGAGACCGGCGCTCCTCAATTGCCACAAGCTCGAGTGTGAAACATGCTAGACTAGTAAAAGTGGCTTCAAATTCCGCCACTGGGGTGTCCAACTACTGTAGCTCCTCAAATTGCTTTCTCAATCTTTCCTTAGTCATGGGAGACAAGAACTGCTCTTGGAAGGCACAGGTGAATGCCTCCTAAGTATGCTCTACTCTATACTTAACAAACTTCCACCATTGGCTCGCCTCCCCTTTATGCCGATAGGCCGCCAATGCCACTCAGAGTTCCCTATGATGAATGTCCAGAATCTTAAAGGACTTAATAATTTTCCCCTGCCATTTATCTGCTTTCATTGGATCTGGTCCACTACTAAACTCAGTAGTGTTTGAACGGAAAAATTCCTTCTTTAAGAAAGAGGTTTGAGTTACCCCCTCTATTGTCCTCGTAACTTGCTCAACTTACAGTATTTACATGGACTCTCGAAGAGCCCCTGCCATCTCCCGGGCTAATGCCCCCATTGCATCTTGGGTCGGACGAATGACCGCATCATTTTGCCCTACCCTTCTTCTTGGGGAGGTAAATCTTGCTGAGCTAGCATATCCCGGTTGCCTCTGCGTGGCCTGCCATGACCTCTACCGTGTCCAAACATCCTATAGAGAGAGGTAAGAAGGAAAGATTTAACTCTTAATCCATACACTACATGTCGACTCACACGTCATCTATGAATTAGACACACACCTATACAAATACCTAGGTCACATAAAGCACACCACATAGTCATATAAATACATAGAGCATATATGAGTTACTCCCTCAAGATCCCGACTAGTCCTATGGCATTTAGGAACCTCCTAGTAGAAAAAGCATTGATCAAGTGCCTTTCCAAAAGGATTTGAATGACTGTAATAGGCACAAGTCATATCCTAAGAGATTAATTCCATGCCCACATAATTACACCAATAAGTAAGACACACAAGGCAAACTAATGTCCCTTGCTAGCATAATAGCCCTATGCAGTAAAGCCACTTCCCACGAGCTCAAGCTATTTAACCTGGTTAGCTCTGATACCAATTTGTAACGCCTTGACAAATAAACTTTCATGTTCCCCTTCTCATCTAGGCATTACCAATGTATGATGTATAACACAACAAAACAAAATAGAAATAATACCACATAAACAACATTCCTTCCCTTTTGAACTATTTCCAAACCTTACAACATTATTTCATTACATTTACCACTAAAAATAAAATAGCTCAACAAGTAAGGAAAGATACAACAATTTTTTTTTTTATCCTTGTCACATTAAAATAGCTGACTACACATAGTCATCCAAAAACTGTCCCTGTGTCATGACCCAAACTCGCCCCTATAGGTTAGGATCATAACCGGCCAGTAATCATTAGATTACCTATGGCCTCAGACGGAAAACAAATTTTAAATAATCATATGGGGCCAAAAGCGAAAGCAAAAGATAATGATTGTCCAATGAGCTTGTGCATAAATGGAATGAACAAAAACATTTCTTATATTAATAACTCACACCAAACATACCCACATAAAAGACATTCTATGTTTAGATCTATGTAATACC